TATAAAAACTACTAGTTAGGCACCTTTAAAATGCTGAAACTATATTATTTCTATTTATAAAAGCAATCATCTGGTTCCTAAAAGTTTTTTTTTGTAGTTAATTATAACAACTGAAAGTGAAGGAAAAGGTCAATCACACTATAGTTACTATATCCAATGTCAATGAGGCCTTTCTCCCTCTAGCAGGGCTCGTCAGGCTAGCTGGGATATAATAATGATTGAGACGCTCTTTATATCATCATTAACTTGAACAGTAACTATTACGGTGTGAACTAGATAATGTTAGAGAAACAACAACTATTACGGTGTGAACTAGATAATGTTAGAGAAACAACAACTATTACGGTGTGAACCAGATAATATAGAGAAACAACAACTATTACGGTGTGAACCAGATAATGTTAAAGAAACAACAACTATTACGGTGTGAACCAGATAATGTTAAAGAAACAACAACTATTACGGTGTGAACCAGATAATGTTAGAGAAATGTAATTTTTTATGAATTATACTTTGGTCATTCATTAAACATGAGAATGAGTTTATGATTTTTATTGGCATCACATTACTTATATATTTTCACACCAAATGGTTTATTATTAATATTATTTATCCTTCTTAAATTCACTTTATACTCAGAAGAACAAAATTATTCAATTTTATACATATAACAATTTTCTTACTTTATTGCAGAAAATACTGACAGATTTATCCTGGCGTATGAAAAAAAAACTAAGTAAAAAAAAATCTGTCACTCAACCACCTCCAGTGGCTCAGTGGTAAGTCTGAGGGCTTATAACGTTAAAAATCACGTTTCGATACTCGCCGTGGGTACAGCACATTTAGTAAATTGTGTAACTTTGCGCTTAGCAACAAACAATTAAAGAACGTCTAGTATCAAACACAAGGTGTTCGAAGGAATTTATTTTTTTCTTGTCGTTTAATGTTTCATTCTAAGAAGAATGTCTTGCTTTAGAAACTATTATTCTGGTAAGACACACTGAGATATTTAAGATAAAAATCAATGTCTCCTTTTAATGTTCTAACAATATAGTCGTCAGTTAATATCGATAGAACACGCTAGGTCTTAGTGATCGTTTGTTCACTTGGTGGACAAATATATATATATACATACAAAACACTGGAATATTAGACTCTTCTATCTATAGAGATTTGAGACCGTTTTACTTCACCAAAAACACTGGAATATTAGACTCTTCTATCTATAGGGTTTTGAGACCATTTTACTTCACCAAAAACACTGGAATATTAGACTCTTCTATCTATGGGGTTTAGAGACCGTTTTACTTCACCAAAAACACAAGAATATTAGACTCTTCTATCTATGGGGTTTTGAGACCGTTTTACTTCACCAAAAACACTGGAATATTAGACTCTTCTATCCATAGGGTTTTGAGACCATTTTACTTCACCAAAAACACTGGAATATTAGACTCTTCTATCTATGGGGTTTAGAGACCGTTTTACTTCACCAAAAACACTGGAATATTAGACTCTTCTATCTATGGGGTTTTGAGACCGTTTTACTTCACCAAAAACACTGGAATATTAGACTCTTCTATATATAGGGTTTTGAGACCGTTTTACTTCACCATATAGTAATCTATGTGAATAATGTTATGACATTCAGTCGAATTCATTATCCGATATTATACAGCAGACCAACTGTTTAATGATTATATATATATGTAGAACTAGACTCTTCTGTTTTTTCTCTCCTTTATTAAATCAAAAACATGTATTTTTCAAATGTACAAACATATAATACACTCCTTGTATAAATTAAATATGTTAAAATGTGCACAAAAATAAATGAACTTAAAACTTATCCACCATACTTTCTTCATATTTCTTATTAACCTAATATTATTATAACTATACTTTCTATTGTTATTATAGAAATGCAACTTATTTCATAATGTAATACCTCTTACTTACCTTATTGTTGTTTTTTTGTGACTCTTAGTAATAGTTCTTATGGTTTCACAATTGTGTTTGTGTGTGTTTTCTTATAACAAAGCCACATCGGGCTATCTGCTGTGTCCACCGAGGGGAATCGAAACCCTCATTTTAGCATTGTAAATCCGAAGACTTATTTCTGTCCCACCGGGTGAAAATTTACAATTACAACTACTACTACTACTTCTGATCTCTTACCACTATCTACCGTATTTTTCGGAATATAAGACGCACCCTTATTTTGAAGCCAAAATTACTTTGGGGAA